TAAAAAATCATCAAAGTTATGGTAAATACTTCTAATATTCTGGGAAATAATGGTAAGATCGTTTTTGTTAATATAAATATGTTTTGTTAGGTCAGAAGTACTACTACACTCGATAGACCGCGCTATGTCTATACTATCTATTTCTTGTAAAGTTTGTAAGGTCTTATTATCCATTTTGTGTGTAGGCAGGTATTGACGTCATTTTCAATTTAATATGAGAGCTACAGGCTCTTATATACTCATCATAGTAATTTATCATAGTTACAGTACCAAAATGATATTGAGTATTTCTTATTATTAACCATAAATTTAATATATTATTTATTATATACTGTAATGTAACATAATGTAAATAGTACTGTATGATGCTCTTATGTATGGCACTTGTGTGATTGTGTATTGAGTGTGAATTAATACGTAGTGTGTATGTAATAGGCGTGTAAATATAGTAATATGTAGGGTGTTGGTAGTTATAAGGTGCTGTAAATCTCAATCTGGAGTATACAAAGTTAAAATTTATTTTAAACTGATATGTTAACTTACTCGTATATCTATATATCTTGAAGATTAGTATGAGGATTGAGTGTGATGTGTAAACAGATGTATGAGTGTATGTGATAGCACGTGTAATACATGAATAATAAATTAATTTAACATTTTTAGCAAAGCAATTTGAAATTTGAAGCATAAGGTAAAACAATGTAGTTTTATAGTAACTAAAAAGCTTAAAAGATAATATTATTGAGAAATAAACATCTAAGGAAAATATCCAGTAGAGAAATAGCGAAAAATTATTCTTATGTAATATATAAAAAAATAGTACTACTACACCGGATAGTCATTTTTCGAATTGCAGCTTTCGAATCTGCTCTTCACTTTTAATTATAACAATAGGAGAGTTTTCATCTTTTCTTATATAGACTTTCCCGTATGCAGTCCAGCAGAACTTATAAGAGTGGGTTTTTGCCAGGTCCCTTGCCAGAAAGTGCAGTTTAGACCCTTTTACAGTCAGGTGCTCCGATAAAAAGACGGGGATGTCGGCTTCCGTTTTAATACCTAAGTGTTGACTACATATTTTAGATCTATGTTTTTTGTTAAAGGCTTTACCTTTTTTGAGAATCTCAGTTTTTATTAGTACGGAGCTGGTTTCCACCACAATCGGAGTATTTTTCTCCTCAGATTTCTTACCACGAACCCTGTAAATGTCTAAGATGTCAGTCTTAGTTATTGGGCAGTCTAAGTTTTGGGATAAGCATAATACCATCTCAATAAGGTCTTCTTTACTTTCATTACTTTTCTTTGGCACATTTTTTATTTGAAGATTATTCTTGCGGCAACCCATTTGTAAATCCTCAATTTTATTTTCTAAAATTGTTATATATTTTTTATCTTCACTTACTTTGCTCTCAAGTTGATTAATCCTTGTTTTAAATTCTTCGTTTTGTGCCGTTAAATATGATATCGAATTTTCAATGTTGACATTGGATCGCTGTATATCTTTTAAACTTGTTGTAACTAGTTCCAAATCCTTTTCGTGTTTAAAGGAGAAGGAAGTTATCATTTCCTTCATTTCTTTCCTAAATTCATTTAACTGCATAATAATTAGATCCTGCGTGTCATCTTTAGTGTTTTTTTTTGCGTTGTGATACGTAGGTCGATGGCGGCGACTCCGCATCGGTGAATGATTTGTCTATTGATGAGTCCATAAGTACTAGGCAATCAGTGTTGTAATGCGGTAGCGTACACGCAGCGAACGCAACAGGTGACAACAGGTGTCGCGCAAACGAGACGTCCGAGCAAGCAAAATGGCACGCTTGCTAATTAGGCGTAGTTGGATACTGCGCGTGCGCTGATTTGTTCACGTAAAAACAGTGTTGTGGTAATACCAGGGCAGCAACGCACACCTACGTGGGGAGTCCGTAAGTACGTCCTGCACTCCTCGTATATTTTTCTATAACGACGCTCGGCAATAGAAGTACCAGGCGATCAGGAAAGTAACGGATATTACACTTTTTTTTTTTTTTTCACTGAACTTCTTCTGTCTATGCACCCCTATTTTTATGTCGTGTATTTTTATCACTGTGAGCACTCAATTAATTTTAATTTTTAATTTAAAGAAATATGTGTACACGTCTGATAGCTTTTGCGTCCAGATGGGGAGAGGACCTGTTAACTCAGGGTGTTCTTTTATGACTGCTTGATGGAGGGGTCAACGGTAAGCTGATTTATTTTCTCCAAGTTTGGTGATTTTATAGTAATTTCTCACAATAGATTCGTTTTGGTCAGCTGTCCATCGTCTTCTTTGTGTCAAGCCTTTCTGATTGCCAAAATATGGTTGCGTGTGTGATTGCGTGATCAAGTCGGTTTGTATATGATTGATATTACTGTGTGTTTGTTGTAAGTATACTGCAACTTCGTTCCTTATATGATCTAATATTTTTTGGGGAACTAAATTATTTCTGAATATAGCTCTGCATTGATCTCCCAACCTTTGTCTTGATGCGTGCATCTGCGGATATTTATTAGAGAATTCTTTATGTAGATGATCGAGGTATATTTTGTTAGTTATTAATTTAGTGGCTATAAGGTACGTGCGTCAGATGAATTTGTTCATTTCTTCTGTCCATCTTTTGCGCGCACGATTTCTGTCTGGGGCGGGTGCAGGATCAGTAGCGACAGCCTCCTGCACAACGTCCTCAGACATGGGTGATACAGAGTCTGATCTCGTTGAAATCTGGTATGAACGTGGAGATGAAATAGATGACTCGAATGAATGAAAAGGTGAGGATGTCGATGAGATTATATCGCTTAGCATGTCGGAGTCCATATGTGTCGCTTGGGTCGTTCGACGGGTTGCTTTCGTCACTCGGGGATTCTTCGCACCCCTAGGCCCATTCTCCGGCTGGCTTCCGTCATAACCAGTGCTGCTACCGCCTGGGGTCGTTTACTTCTTGTTAATACCATAATTATTCTCCATTTGGGTTTGAGTGTGGACCGTTAGTTGGGGAGGGTTAGCAAAGATGTTAGTGGTTAATAAAATGTACCTCCTGTATCGGTAAATACAGGGTATGGTCAAGTTCGTAGTGACCGCTGTTAGGTTCATGCCTCCCCTTAAGCCCCCCCCCCGTCACGTCAAGGTGGTCCCCGGGGAAGGGGGTTATTATTATAACCAGTCGAAGGATTTAAACCCAAAGGAGCTCAAAATTTTCACGGATGGTTCCAAAAACAAAGATACAGGATATCCATGTAACACCGCTAGGCACCCACAACACAGTCTTTCAGGCAGAATATATGGGTACCATCCAAGCGGCATAACAGTAGATGCTAGGAAGGTAAAATACTCCTCCATCAGGATACTGACCGTACTCCATCAGAATATTGGCAGTACTACGAGCTCTGAGTTGCTATGTCGGGGCTAATTTATGAATGCCATCAACGACTAAATAAGGTATGTAAACACAAAAATGTGACTTTGCAATGTATAAATGGACACAGCGGATCGAGGGGCAATGATGCAGCAGACGAACTGACCAGAAGGGGATCGGCTCTGGCCACTGTAGGGCCAGAACCAAACATACCAATCCCCTTTGGTAACGTTAAATACACACTTAAAGAGGGCATTACATTTCAAGTGCAGTTCTCATTGAATGTACGGGCAGCTTTAATCGATGAGGTTTTAATTGGTCCATTATTTTGCCTACTACATTAAACTCTGAACGTTTTTTAGCTTCATTAGAAGACGAACTGACATTTCCGCTCGAATAAGTTTCGCTGGCCACAAGGCAACGGGAGTGTACGTTTTTGCAGATAGATTGATGTCCTGCTCATTACGGGTGAAATGTGCGAAGGTTTTTAAACAAAAACTATGCAAACAGATGGATTGGCCGGGAAGGACCAGTGGGCTGGCCAGCGCGTTCACCTGATCTGACACCTCTCGACTACTTTTTGTGGGGTGCCATGAAACAAAAAGTCTACAGAACCACGGTAAACACTAAGGCTGAATGAATTACAAGTTTGATTTCTTCAAGTGAGAATGAAATAAAAAGTGACCCAGGGATGGTGCGTAGAGCTACAAACCAAATTGCTCTTCGTGCAGCAATGTGTCTTTAGTAACGTGGGGCCATTTTAAGCATTTAATGTATTAGTTATGAGCACTGTAAAAAATTATGTAGTTACCTACTTCTGACTTGATTACAATTTGTAATCAAAATCTGACTTTTATTGATGAAAATTTAACACCTCTTAGCCAGCGTGTTTTTGCGTTACAACGTACGTTTTTTGAATTTTGAAAGGCAATATGGTAGAAAATAATAATAATTCGTAAAATTACCTCGTATTGGTACCTGGTATACCTCAGAGAAAATTAGAAATCATTGATAATACTGTCAAAAAAGGGTTTTTTTTTCACAAAAAGCAAACTTAAATCCATGATGCCACTTTTTTTGCTAGCTAATTGTTATTTTATTCATACCGCCAAGTACGTGGTAATACATAATTTTTTTTATTTTATAGTAATTGACCCACTACTTTGGAAGAAATCATTACTTTTTGTAAATAAAAACCTACATAAGATAAAATCTCAATTCGAAGAATAGTAATTCAAATTAATAATTGAAAAAAATAGAATTTTTTTCTATTTTTGTCGTTAATTTATTGTCTAGTTCACCCCTTTTCGGGGTTGCATTCTACCGACGGACAAACTGTATACACATCCTACTCCTGGGCACAAATCTCTCATTTCTGAGAGGGTTTGCTAGGTGATTTTCTGATATTATGATGTAAGGAATTCTAAAGATGTACAGCCAGCACATAGAAGTCACCAGAGAAACTGGTGTTATAAGTGGAAATATAAGCATTTCTTTTCATTTACAAGCTTATAAAATGTATGCAAGTTTATGCAATATGCATGTAATATCAATAAAGTAACGTAATATTAAAAAAAAATAAACATAATATTTAATTAAGTAAAATTTTCTAGCTGTATCTACATATGTTTACAGGAAAAGGTGAAAGCATTTGGGATAGATACTTCCATGATAATCCAAAGGTGATTACGGATGGAAGAAATGGTGATGAGGCTTGTGATTCCTACTATTACTATAAAAGAGATGTGGAAATGCTGAGAGAGCTTGGAGTGGATTATTATAGATTTTCTATATCATGGCCTAGAGTTCTACCTTCCGGTAAGTTAGCTATGGTGTATAATATGAAATATATTTCGGTACTCATCACAATAGAGTAAGCAAAAAATTTAATATGAAAAGAGAAACTATAAAAATAAGACTATTTGTGCGTGTGTGTAGGATATGTAGTTTTCAGTGAGTGGTGTGAGTAAAAAAAACATATGTGTTTATACTTATATATGTTTTTCATAGAGTTCACGTATACTCATTATTCTTGCGTACACGGTAACGCTTTTAAAAAGAAGTATAATTCTGACTCCAGGTCCTTCAAAAAAGTCATTGTCAAAAAAAACGTCAGAGCACATCGGCAGAATTAGCGAGAAACTAGTTCGTCTTCCTTCGGGAACACGTGCATTCTGGTCTCTCGCCAAGGCTGTCCAGCGGAACTTCTGTCAGCCATCTCTCCCATCTCTGCACAGGGAGGACGACTCACCGTCCCATGCCGAAAGACAAAGCCGATATGCTGGGCTCTCTGTTTGCGTCCAACTAAGAGACCGAGTTAACAAACCGTCGACCATCCCGCAGTGTTAGTGATGTGTGAATGTTAGTAATAGCAGGGTGTGCTGTTTACCCAACGCTCGGTGCGCAGAGCACTCCTCTCCCTGGACATCAACAGGTCGAGTGGGTCTGATGGCGTGCCTCCTATTGTACGGAAGACGTGTGCTCCGGTGTTGACAACGATTTTAATGAGTCTTTTTCGGTACTCTTACTCTCTAGGCGTAATTCCGCAATCATGGAAGATAGCCTTCATGCACCCGATCCCTAAAAAAGGTAAACGCTCGGATCCGTCCAACTCTAGGCCTATCGCCATCACCTCCTTGTTCTCTAAAATAATGGAATCCATTATTAACAGCCAGCTCATGTGGTACCTTGAGGATCACTAGCTGATTAGTGACCACCAGTATGGTTTCCGTCACGGTCGCTCAGCTGGTGATCTTCTGGGTTACCTAACTCATAAATGGGTGGAGGCAGTAGAGTCCAAGGGCCTCCCCCCGTTAGCCGTTAGTTTCACATAGCGAAGGCCTTCGATTGGGTTATTCACAAAGCACTTCTTACGAAGCTTCCTTCATATGGGCTTCCCGAGAAATGGTGCAATTGGATTACCAGTTTTCTAGCTGATTGCAACATCAAGGTCGTAGTAGACGGTGCATGCGAACAAGGTTGCGTGCTATCACCAACGCTGTTTCTTCTGCATATCATACTGCAATGACATATTGCAAACAGGTAACATTGATGGCTATGCAGACGACAGCACTGGTGATGCTTTATACACCGTCGCCGAGTACCGAGACAAACTTGCGTCTGAAGTCGAAATTTTGTTGAACAAAGTCTCGGACTGAGGGCGGGTGAATCTAGTCCAGTTTAATCCCCAGAAGAAACAATTTTGCGCGTTTACCGCTAAAAAGAACCCCTTCGTTATGCCAAAAATGCCAAAGCCAAGCATGTCTGAAATTTATGCTGGTATTCTGTGAGATGTTCTTGTTATTTACCTTTTGTAGTGAATAATTCTTAGAATCGTTGTTATTTCAAACACGATGAAACTAAAAAGAGACAGACTGAATATAGTATACAGTGTTACATATTATCTTGGTCTCAATAAATCATTAGTAAAAAATTTATTAACAACAATTTTAATTTTTACGTGGTAGAGCTATGCTGCAGTTGTGTTAGGAGTATAGTTGTAGCATGAATCCGTCGGCTCAACCGGGGAAGGACCACGCTCTCACAGAATACCAGTAAAACAGTAGCTTAATGCTGCTGTGTTTCATATGGTGAGTGTAGAGAACCGGAGACCGTTTTTACTGGAAACGAGGCATTCTGTCTAAGTCCTCATGGAGACAATGCATCTGCATTTTGATTCGTAATCGAGGATAGATGTAGATGTCTATGGGCCAGAGCAACCACTTACCATCAGGTGGACTGTGTGCTCGTTTGTCATCCTATCCTATATATATAAAAAAATAAGGTTTCATTTCTATCATCATACACGGTTTTTACACTACAGACATGTTTTTATTTTTATTTTATATAAATTTATCCAATCCATTCCAGGGTTCCCCAACGAACAAAACAAGCTGGGCTTCCAATACTATGACAACTTGATTGACGAACTCCTAAAATATAACATAACGCCCATGGTGACACTCTACCATTTTGATTTACCTCAGAAGCTGCAGGACTTGGGAGGTTGGGTGAATCCACTTTCCGTCGACTGGTTTGAGGATTACGCGAAGGTCGTGTTTGATAAATACACGAGCAAGGTCAAATATTGGATAACAGTGAACCAGCCGAATTCAATTTGCACGTCTGCTTATGGGGAAGCCGCGATGGCGCCTGTGTTAAATAAAGGCGTTTCAGAGTATGAATGTACCAAAAATGTTCTTTTAGCGCATGCCAAAGCGTACAGACTGTATGAGAAGGAATACAAAAATAAATATAAAGGTATCCACTCTTTTCGTGTTTTAAGTAATGTATATAGTGTTTTTAATAGAAGCAATTCTGATAGTTTGCTAGCACACAGTCGATCTATTAGTCTACTCGCTAACTTTTTGTCATTAAAATACCTAATGTTCACTTAGTAGTATACAACGTAGGAGCGATGATGTTTAAAGCTTGAGGAGGACCATCTCTGTGTATGGAAAAGTGTCCGTCGTGAACCGTCCAATTAGGGTTACGCTTCGGTAGCAAGGGTGCAAATTTTAAAGATAGCGTCAGTAATAATTTATCAAAATAATTATAAAAGTTAAAAAATGTTATTTCATTAAATAATGATTCATATAAATTTATTTTACAAACTGTTGCTCGGAATAAAGACGGAGGCTGGGACATATCAGTGACTTTATCTTTTACATTTCGCCTACTTAGAAAGTTTTTCACTTTACAAATATTTTCCATTATTGATCTATTTTTTTTAAAAGCTGTGTATCAGTATAGACAATAAAATCACGAAAAAGTGTTAATCAAAAGTTTATAAAAATTAAATCATTTTCCCCTTTTTTTAGCACTTTCATAAGTTATTTTTACTACCTAAATTACTATGTAACGAGTTCACGTTTTATAAACTGCAAAATTCTCAACTACACTAGTCGCAAGAGATATTAAATTTTGCAACTCGGCACACTTCACGTTAGCGCTATTTTATTGGGTTCTTGAACTTTAATTTGCTGCTTACAGTTGGACACTTTTTCGACTTGTGCCCCAAATAAGATAAGGGCCTTCTTACCTTTACCCTCCATAGTATGGAGTGTAAAGGTAAGGAGAACAGACTGTGTATTAAAAAGTGTCCGTAGAAAACCGTTAAATAGGGGCGGCGCCGCTGTAGCTAGAGGGTAAATTTTAAAAAACTTTTTATAACATTTTATTGCACAGACTCACCTCAATACTGTATTACCGTAATACCGCCAGGATCCATCAGCTCAATGCATCATCTAAGTGGAGTGTTGGCCTACATAACTGTACAATATTTGCCAACACGAGACTATAGTACAACCAGCGGGTTGCCATTGCCTTATTGGTGTATTTTTCAGGATCCGTTGGCATATCAATGTCATTAAATTGGGCAGACCCAGCTGATAATAGCACGGAGAATGTTGAGGCGACGGAGGTGTTCCGGGGATTTAATGTAAGCTTATTTATATATAATATATAAATAAAATTAATAATTTCATATTATTACATCGAAAAAAAATTTTAGTCTATGCTTACTTTAAGGGGAAATCCCCAAACAGTTATACTCGTTTGGAGGTCAGGGAATTAATGAATTTACGTAAGAGGCAGTGTTATAAATAAAAACCGACGGGTTGCACTCCGGGGATCCCAGCGGAAGTGAAAACTTGAATATTAACGTTGTGAATTTTTGATATTTTGGAATGGTTAGGGAATAATTTTGCACAAATTGCTTTAATTATCAGTATAAAAGTACTATCATTTATGTGGTAGAATACAATATTTATTTATTGCTATCGTACACAAACATGACAATTTATATTACATTCGCGAAAGCGCCCTGCGCCGCCTAAACGAAACAGCAGGCGCAGGCATACATTTTCGCCGCGCCGTAGAAAGAGAGGGGGGATACTTCCTCTCCTACGCCGTCCGTCTTACGAATTTTCGATCAGGTCACGTGTCCTGACGCGAGTTAACATTTTTTACTCATTACAAAAAAGTGTACAACGCCGCTAAAGAAGTTTTCACTTCAAAAATATAAATATTTTGGTTGAATTTTATAAGCCCAACAAAGTTCATTGTGGACTTGAGCGACTTCGTCGACTGCTGAACGTGGCCCTCTCACTTAAATTGTCAAAAATGATGGCACCCACGACTTTTTGCCTCCAGGGTGGCGCCGCTATCAAATGAGGTGAAATATTTAACAGATTTCATAGCGAGAAAGTTAATTTTTTAGGAAAATATAAAGATTAATGTTTTTTTCTATAATTTTAGTTATATTTTATATTAATTCGATTAGAAATGAATAAACTACTAACCACGGATATTCCTAAAAATGGAAAAATTAAAAGTGTTAAAATGTGCAAAAAATTAAAAAAGCAAACCACTTAGACATTGTTTTTTGTATTAATGTAATACTTTAGAAACTGATAAATTTTTATTTAAAACTCAATTAAATGAAGACATAACTTTATCTCCGACCCAACTAGCGACTTTTGAGTGTAATGTGAGTGTAATATTATTATCCCCACAGAAATAGTAATAATAGAATTGAATTAGCGCTCGATTACTTCCGAAACCGTTGTCGTCACATCACATAGGTACGCATTAAGTGGCCGTTGCCTGCAGCCGTATTATAAACATACGCAATGCACAATGATATCTAATGGTTTATATTACATTGCTTGGCGAGTTTGTCAACGTAGCGTGCGCCGCGTATTACGGTAAAACAAAAGCAGCAATGGTGTGGCAATACAATAATATGAGACGTAATAAATGAAAGTTTACAAAGGTAAATATCATAGTAAAGTATTCATCTAGATGTAAATTAGTTAAAACAATGATAATTAGTAGATAATCATTTTATCGATGAATATTTATGTCTTTATGAGTTGAATTACACGTCCTTGATGAGTTTTAACTACTGATTATGCTGCAGTTCACCATTATAATAGCATAAAATCACGTACGACGTTCTCCGCGCAACTAAATCGGAAAATTGTGAATGATGTTCGTCAACACATCATAGCGGTGACTAGGTCACGCGTCTATGCCACTTCTATTGTCTTATTATTATGATTTCTGTAACTATTCCACATTGTTACGCTTGGCGACCGCATATTATTTTCAATGGTAAAACCATTGAAAAAAAAACTGTGTTTGTGTTTATAAGATACTGTTTCCAATCTTCTGTTTCAATTGCTTTCTGCTACTTCTTTGACACTCACTGGAAATATGGGGTAGTGGATTTTATTACAACGGCCTCTCTGCACGGTTTAGTTGACAGCCAATTCGAAATTATAATTTTTCCACGGTATGTGTTCCAGATTGACTTATTTCTGAATCCAATATGGTCGAAGACAGGTGACTTCCCGTCTACAGTCAAGAAAATCGTGGCCAAAAAGAGCAAACAACAAGGGTTTAGTGAATCTAGACTCCCCGTGTTGAGTCCTAAGGAAATCAAACTGCTGAGAGGTAAAATGTCTCCTATTTATTTATCTTTATTGTACATCTCAATAAAAAGGATAACTGAAGACGGACTTAATGCCTTTTCGCATTCTCTCCCAGTCAATCTGGGACGAATGGAAATAATTGGATAGGTGACAAAAATAAAAATAAAATCTCTTAACTTAAATCCCATGGCTGGGCACAGGCCTCTTCTTATTTACGAGAGGGTTATGTATTGTCGGACTTTTTTCTTATAGAATAATATATTCCGATAATACGTTGTCATAATAAAATAATATATTTCTTAGGCGCCTTGAGATACTATTGCCATCAACTGTCTGCTAGCTCAAGTTGCCGTCATTATCTCCCAAAATTTCGCAATGTGATGCATCAACATTTTGTGGAAAAGTATAAAGTATAACTTTTAATTACTTGATACTGGCAAAAGCACAATCGTATAGGTCCATTACAACCAAAGAAAGCAAGAAAGTAGAAACGGAATCACAAGCACACAAATATTTATGGATGATTTTTATTACATGTTTTTAAACAGGTTCGGCAGATTTCCTAGGTATCAATCACTATACGACCGTATTGGTGAAAACGTCTGACGAAGATGTCCAATCGCCGTCGTTCGTAAATGACGTCGGCGTCGAAATTGTGCTTGGTGATAAGTGGAAACAGTCACAGTCCGCATGGCTAAGAGTGAGTAACATTTTTTTTGTAGAATAAGTTGACAATCGAGCACACAGTCCACCTGATGGTAAGTGGATGCTTTTGCCCGTAGACATTTACGTGTATCCTCAATTAAGAATCAAAATGCAGATGCGTTGTCGCCCTTGAAGGACTAAGATGAAATTCCTCGTTTTCAGTAAAAGGGTTCTCCGGTTCTCTACACTCACAATACGAAACACTGGTCGAGCCAACCCTTTCGTGCCACAACTATAATATCGCTGGTTCTACAACGTATTTACAGCATGGCTCTACCACATTATCATCTATAAATATACATAAAATTGAAGTATCTGTCTGTAACGTTGAAATAAGTGACTTCTATTAACCTCGGGATGTCATTTGCACGTACTCGTAATTTCGTACGAGTAATCTTCGGAGTGGCTTTAAAGATTATGATGAAACTTTACGAACAAATAAACTTGGCATTTATAATACATTATTATTATACATTAATATATTATTAATTAACATTAATATTATATTATTAATGCCAAGAGGGATCTGGGATATATTTTATCCCAAAAACTTGAAGATAAGTAAAAAATTGATAAAAAAATGCTCTTTGAAGATTTAACTTAATGGAGTCACAATAATAGATTCTATCCAAGCAAAGCCGGAGCAAGGATTGCTGGTAAATTAATAAAATGGAATGTTATTTACATTTAGGAAAAATAAGTTGATGAATTTTGAATTTTTTTAAGAGCATGTAACACCACAAACTCCCAATCGTAGATCAAATTTTATATAGCTAAATCAAATATAAAATAACAAAAATATTAATATGGATATCACATCGTAAGTGCGAGGGACGTCATTGGTTAAAAACATAATAGAATTTTTTTATGACTGAAAAAAGTCTTAAAGATACCTCTTAATTTTCGTGAACCGATTTGTTCTGGTCGTGGTGCATATTATGAAGCAAAAAATTTAATAAATGGCATCACATATAAGAGTACAAAATCTGCTATGCTGCTGTGCTATAAATAGTGATTTTTTTTTTAAAATTACATTTTTCAAGTTATTCAATAAAATGCATTTGGCGTTTATTCCATGCAATGAATTCTCGTCCGTCTCACGTCACGCGAGACCTTCAAGTATGTTTTGAAACAAATTGTTTCAACGCATCAGTTGCAATGTCTCCGCTGAGGAAACACCGTGTTTCTATGCACCGCGACCGCGCCAAGAAAATGATCGCTCCAACAAAGCTCAATAACCAAATTGTCGTATTTATATGTTTTTCTTAGAATAGACTCGCTCGTAAATATCGATCCTTACTACTAAGAGAGTAGTATATTTATGCATGACTCTGTTTGCATTCCTAGGTTATGTGTGACGCCTCGTCCAACTGCCATTCTCTCAACCTTTTCACTCCACCAATAATGAAAAAAACAAAAAGGAAGAGTAAGTTTTTACAACAGTTGCACTCCCTTCTCCAGCAAAGTGCATTTGACAAACGTCCGAGGCCTGCACTGTAATCTCAATGCAGTTCATTCCCACCTTGAGACTGACAAGCCGCACTTACTCTGCTTCACTGAGACGCAGATCACATGTCCTCTATGATCTAGATGCCTGATCTGGGTACACATTAGAGCATAATATCCATCAGCGCGTCGGAGTCTGTACTTACGTCCGCAACGCCTTCTGCTGTAAGCATCTCCGTCACCTAGAAGACCCCACTTTCTCTACGATCGGGGAATTCATAGACACAGGAATGGATAAAATTATTTATTCTTGTGTCTACCGATCGCACAGCGGTGACCAGGAGAGAACTAGACTATTTGAACACCTCAATGAATGCTCTGAAGTGGCTCTAAATCGATACCCTAATGCACAGTTGGTTTTTCTGGGGGACTTTAATGCATCATCAGGACTGTCTGTTTCCATACCAGAAGACCGACACGCTGGGAGAGAGCCGTGAAATTTTGCCTTGTCGCTGGGACTCCCAACTGGTACAACGAGCTACTAGGGTACCTGATAGCCAACTGCCTCGACCTTCTGCTTAGGACCGATCCAGACAAGTACAATGTTCAGGTTACCTCACCCTTGGGAATTTCTGACAACTGTCCGGTAAAATCTGTGTCGATATAATCCCCACTCAACTACGATCTCCACGGTGTGCGGCGAGTGTGGTGATACAAGTCAGCAGATTGGGATGAGATGCGGCATTTCTTTGCATCTTATCCTTGGCGGCAGGTCTGCTTCTCGTTTGAAGATCCGTCGAGCTGTGCGAATACAATAACCGATGTGATATGTCAAGCGATGAAGTATTTCATCCCCTTTGTTGATGTGCCCATTGGCCATTTTTTGTTTTTTCATTAGCAGTTGGACGAGGTGTCACACATATAACCTAGGGACGCAAACAGAGTCATAGCATCGACAGTACCTAGCATAGAGATCGCGTAAACGCCCGAACCCCCTGGAAATCGCCACCAGGCCCTCTCCTCCAGTCGTTCAGTTTTACCATTATGGCCTCTTACGACACCCATGGGACAATATTATGGGGTAGTAGATATTTTTACACCATCACTACACATTTATTGAAATGTTAATTTTTACATATAAGCAGCAACTATATTTTACTTTTTTCTTAACCAGAGCGCTCCATACGGCCTGTACAAATTATCTATATATTTAAACCAAAATTATGACTACCCAACCATATTTATAACGGAACACGGCTGGTCGACTAAACCGGGATTGCGGGATCGAAGCCGGGTGGAGAACATGAGACAATATCTGAACGCGCTACTTCTCGCTATTGAAGATGGCACGAATGTTAAAGGATATACAGTTTGGAGTCTAATGGATAACGTGGAGTGGCAAGCTGGTACTAGGTGAGTGACATTTAAGAACTTGTGTGAACCACGTGTGCAGTACACACATGCTAGAAGTGAAACCTTCAGAAAAAGAGGTAGAGGTAATAGGAAACACTATATTCTGTATTTTTTTTTGTATTCTATCTCATTCTCTCGTAGGTTAAATCCTTTAGAGTTTCATCGATTTTCAAATCCAACAATAATAAAAAAGTTTTTACTTCAAAAAATTAAAGGACAAGCGAGATAACAGTCCACCTCATGGTAAGTAACTATTGTACATGGACGCCTGAAGCTAACTTCAAACAAAGAAATTTACAGATGTGTTGTCACATCTGAAGGCTAAGATGGAATGCCTCATGGCTTTTAATTGTACTGGCTCCCGATAATCTTCAGAGCGGAGATAGAATAGAATGGAATCCTTTTTGTTCAATGTAATTACAAGAAATTGAAAATCTTTTAAGCATTACCACTAGTTCGGAAGAGTCGTGGTAGCTTACATGGTTAGCGCTCGCTGTAATTTTCACATTACCCGAGGTAGCCGGGTTTGATTCCCGCCGGCACCAATGAAATTGTTAATTAAGTACTGATTTACCACGGCGGAGAGGGAAAACTTCGTGAAGAAACCTGCATGTCTGGGAAATAAGAAAAAAAATATTTCGAAGACATGTGACGTTTGCAAACACGCATTGGGGCAGCGCGGCGGACACTTCCGTGCCCTAAAACCCTCCCAGAAATGAGGGAGGCATGTGGGACATATATAGGCTGTAACTTTACTTTTGTTTTTTACAGCAAGAAATTCAGCGAATCTTTTAAACATAAATTTACAATATAATATTTTATACAATTAAGTATGAAATTATTTAGAAACAATATGGCAGTTCACGCATTACTACAGTCCGCGCGTTCCACCTTGGCCGGGCTGAAGTAGTCTTACCGAGGCATTCGCTCTTGTACAGACGCCAGTTGATAAGGATGTTTAGTTTGGCACATCATATTCGCTCCTAAGATTGGTTAGGGAAACAGTTTATTTTATCTATATCGATTATAGAATTAATTGAAAATACGAGGGTGGATTGAAAAGTACTCGGCCTAACACAGATCCATTCAATTCTAAAAATCAAATCTACCCACATTATTTAGTTCAGTTCAGACTAGTTCATTGTGTGAAGTTCGAAACGTGTGCGATAATTAGTTGTGATTTTATAAATTTATTAACAAAGTAATCGGACATAATTTCCGCGAATGGAGCAAATCGAGCAGCGTGCCGTCATTAAGTACCTCCATAAGAAGGGACTATCATCAAAAGCCATCCATGATGACATGGTCAGTACATTAGGCAATTGTGATCTGTCATATTCATCCGTCAAAAAATGGATAGCAGAATTTAAGCGTGGTAGAGAGAGTGTGAAAGATGAACCCCGCTCTGGAAGGCCTTCGATGTCAACTACTGACGAAAATATTAAAAAAGTACTTGATTTAATAATGGGAGACCGCAGATTAAAAATTAGAGAGATAGCCGAGATTATAGGCATCTCTTATGAACGAACTCAAAACATCATTGTCAACGAGTTGGGTTTCCACAAGGTGTCTGCGAGGTGGGTTCCGCGACTGCTTTCAGTTGAACAAAAAAGGACGCGATTGACTATTTCACGCGACTGTTTGGAGTTATTTGAAGCCGATGCAGATGATTTTTTGAATCGTTTTGTTACTATGGACGAAACATGGGTTCATTACTGTACACCGGAAACAAAACAACAATCAAAACAGTGGAGAAGACCTGGTTCACCACCCCTAAAAAGGCTAAGTCGATTTTGTCGGCAAATAAGGTGATGGCTTCAGTATTCTGGGACTCGAAAGGTGTGATTATGATTGATTATCTTGAAAGGGGTCAGACTATAAACTCTGATTACTACTGCACCTTACTACGTCGTTTACGAGAGGAAATAAAAGAAAAAGGTCGAGGAATGCTCAGAAGAAAAGTCCTGTTTCATCAAGATAACGCCCGTGTTCACACGTCAGTACAGTCAATGGCTGAAATTCACAACTGTGGCTTTGAACTGTTACCGCATCCGCCGTATTCACCTGATCTGGCACCATCAGACTTCTTTCTGTTCCCTAACCTAAAAAAGCACTTGGGAGGTCAAAGATTTTCGACAAACGACGAGGTCAAAGCAGCTGTAGACGCATATTTTGACTCTAAGGAAGAATCATTTTTTTTCAACGGTCTAAATGCTTGGAAGGGGAGGTGGCAAAAGTGTATTGAACTTGATGGTGATTATGTAGAAAAATAAAAATATAACTGATTTAGTATGTGTTTATTTTCTTGGTTAGGCCGAGTACTTTTCGATCCACCCTCGTATCTTTATGTTTTTCAATAAAACAATAGTAATGATTTCTTATATTTACGCGAACACTACACATTGAAATAATACTAGTTTTTACGGAATTTATCGCGTATATTTAACTTTTTAAATACCCGACGTTTCGAGAGCTTTACAGCACCCATGGTCACGGGAAGGACTGAGATGTTCAACGTCCAGATGTCATAGTTAACCGCGGTTACCATAGATTAAAATTTAACTTTTGTTCCGATCTACACAGTATGAACTTATGGTATCATGAAGTCTTGCAGTTGTATGCTTGGGTTGGGATTTAATTTTATTTATTATAGGATCCCAAGCAGATGGTAGCACCCAGCCATCTTCACTATTGAAATTAGGATGTTTTTTTATTTCAATAGCCTCGCGAATCATCCTTGGAAGGAATCGGTGTTCTTTAGCGAGGATTTTCAAGTGAATCCTGTGTTCACAACTGAAGATCCCAATCGGGGTAGGGGTAAAGCTCTCACATGGTTAAAAAAATAGCATGACTAATATTTCAAAACAATAGTATCTAATAAGGAATTACGATAAACAGTTTGAATTAGTAAATACACGATATTATAAAAAATATAAAATAAAATTGAATCATAATCGATTAACCGCGTAACTGCACATTATGCGTACTAACATCTCTAGTTTTAGTTACCGCCTGCCCACCCACTCCTCTTGGCACTATTTTCTTCCAAACTTCCAAATGTCGGCTGTACACGCTCGTCTCGTCGCCTCGCGTGCCTCTCGTCGTGTTGAGGCTCGACACGAGAACACACCATGTACACACTCGTTGTATCCTTTGAACTCCGTATTCCCGCTGAGATGGACCTAGCTGAAACTGTTGCTGCGTTTTGCCTTTGTGCTATTAGTTATTATGACTTTTTAACAACATTTAAAAATAAAATTAATAAGCCACGGCGAAGAAGAAGATAGTGGATGGTTTCTATTTATCTGTAACTGAACCATGTACGGTGAATAGAATATAGTACACTCTCGTTTTCGTCGCGAGACTCACGAGAACCTTTGACTCAAGCGCAAAAAATCGACACGAAGAAACAGTATGTTTCGTTCTTCTTTCTTCGTTTCCGAGAGCACACACGAGACGCAACGCTACGTGACGAGAGCACCATGTACACACTCGTAATTGGTCTGTCTCGTGGTGTCTCGACGAGCGTGTACAGCCGCCAAAAAAACTATATCCTAGCAATAAGAAAAACCCCCAACAAGTGGATTTTTAAAACAAAGGTAAAGGAACATTATTTGGGACTGATAATCTATTACATCTATTGTATATGTTTGTATATACATGTGTATATGTGTGTGTATGTATGTATATAAAGTTATTATGTATATATAATTAAGTTTGAGCTATGAGTATATGTGTGTGTGATGTGTGTGGCGGGGGGGGGGGGTATGTGAAATTTATCAATTTTAGGTTTCATCTTAGCCTACTGCAGTACACACATCTCCCACTAACTTTCCGGTTGGCTGGTAGAAAATGCCATATGGCATTAAGTCCGCCATTTGTACCTTTAGTACAATAAAGTGTAAAAATAAATAAATAAATAAATATAAATATCCGCGCAACCAATCGCTACTAATTTTGGTGGCAGAACGAGGCAAAATGGTACTTAGACGGACTCCCAGATAGAAAGAAGTTGGGTGGGAAAATGAGTCTTACTATCTTGATCATTAGATTTAAAATTATTCGTTTTTATCTTTCATATTTTTTTTAATTTAACCGTAGGAAAAAAGGGGAGATCTCTCGCCGGGCAAAGTATTCAACTCGGGAACTGGCCAGCATTCCTTTTGGTGGTATAAAGCAGTTAGTATTGCAGTACTTCGGAACTTTGATAGCGCAATTTAGGTTTGCGATGCACTTGGTTTGTTGTGCGATGACAGCGGCGCCTCATAAACACTAGGCGTCCCTGTATCGTGAAGTCATTTTACTTATGTAATGAGCTAATGAGGGTATCCACGACTTATTCTGCCACTAGGGCGATGTTACTTATGAATGAGAGTAAATATTTCATAGTGGGAGAAGTAAATTTGATAGAAAAGTCTAAAGATTAATGTCTATTTCTGAAATCATCGTTATACCGGTATTTTATATTAATTAGATTGGAAGAAATGGATAAACCAACTATGGATTTTCCTAAAAGTTAAAGAATTAAAGAAAAGCTCAGCAGACCGACATGACAAACTCATTAAACTTATCATTATAATAATATAGGGGTGACAAACTAATAATTTTGAGATATGGAGATGGGACTGTTTCTCCAAAATACAGATTCCAAAGCGCGTTTCCCTCTCTTGGTCGCCATCACAGATGGATTGTTTGATGTCGTCATACGGCTATCTTTCTAACACATCAAATGGTGATGATTATGATGAAGGTGATTCTTGCTATTAAAATATTACTCTGACTATATTTGTGTCCGATACCCTGACTTGGGTGTTCTAATTATTAATATAATTTATATTTTATTGTAAATATGTTGCATATAGCTGTAATTATATTAGCCACAGCAGTAGTAGTTTTAAGTGCTATTTTTCTAACAGGCTACCGGTAAATAGTTAACAAATCCAAATCATGTAAAGTCTGTCGAGAAGCGCTGAAGGAATGTTATGATTATCACTTATTCT